ATTTACCAAACATTTTAATGGACTTCACTAAAGTAGAATTTTGTTTATGTATACACCCAGGTGACTCCCTCCCAGATCAAGGTATTAAACATTTTCGTTATCCCTGAAAATCCCCTCAAGCTACTTCACAATCACTGTCCCTCTCAGAGGGTAGCCACTATTTTATTCGTTAAATAAACAATTATCTATTTTAAAATTTTTATATTTTTGTATGATTTTTAAAGGTCACTTTCCATTTATAGTTATTACGAAATATTGGCTATATTCCCCCTGTTGTACAGTACATCCTTGAGCCTGTCTTACTGCCAGTAGTTTGTGCCTCCCACTCCCCCCTGCATATATTTTAACTTCTATCACCATAGATTTGTTTTTCTTGTTCTTGAGCTTCATACAAATGGAATCCTACAGCATATATCTTCTTTTTGTGTCTGGCTTCTTTATTCAGTATGTGGTTCTTATACCTATTTGTAGTTTGTTCTCTTTTTATTAGTGAGTAGTATTCCAAAGAAGAAAACCCAGTAGCCAGTAAGCACTCAGGATTATTAGTCATCAAGGAAATGCAAATTGAAAATTGCAAAAGAAATAAATTTTAAAAAGACTAACCATGCCAGGTGTTGTTTTGAGGATGTAGAAAAACCAAAACTCTAATTCATGATGGTGGAAGTATAAAATGAAACAATTTCTTAGGAAAAGTATTGGGTAGTTTCTAAGAAAATTAAACTTAATCTACCCTATGACTAGGAATTCCACTCATATACCTGGAGGAATGAGTGTGTATGTGCACAAAAATACTCTTATAAAAATGTTTATGGCAGCTTTATTCATAATGGTTCAAGACTGGAAAAACCCAGATACTCATTAGTTGGACAAATTGTGGTATACACCAATGAATCATTTTTAAGGGCCTAATATGTGCAAAACACACTCTGTCTTTGTCATTTCTTGTTTCAGTGGGCCTGACACCCTCTCCTTGGGGATTATGAAGCAAGGAAGGAGCAGGGGACCCTGTGGGCCGCCCAGTACCAGATACCTGCCAGCTTTCCCCAGCAGACATCACATTCCAGATTCTGGGTCGCACAGTCATCAAGTCGTGTCCAATTTCATAAACATTTCCTGAACATGATACTAGACCCTGAGAGGTAGATACAAAGATAATTAAGACATAGTCCCTGTCCAGGGAAGAGTGGTGGGGAGCATGAGTCTTGGGGAGTCAGAAAGACATGTGCTTGAACCCAGTTCTTATTAGCTGTGTGCTCTCAGCAAGCCCTGATCTCATCCATGTAAGGCATCGCACAATAGAAGCCATAATCTGCCAAAGAGCGTTCTAAGAGATGCATGGGAAGTGCATAGTACAATGTCTGGCACTTACAAGGTTTTAAATCAATGTTATTTATTACTATTATTGTTCTATTGTACTATTACTACATTTGTTCACAATTTAGTGAGGAGGAAAGACATCAATTAATTACAAAGACCATTAGAGACATTTGAAAAGAGGTGAACTTAGCTTTGGGGTTACAGAGAGAAAGAAGCTAATATGTGCTAGAAAGTTCTGGTAAGATGTCTTATAGGATTTATAGAGAGTTGGGTGTCAGCTCAGGAAACAAGATCTGCAGCTCTAACATTAATGATGAAATAATACAGTGAGAGGCAACATGATGTAATAAAAAGAGCATCAAGATTGAAACCCTCCTGCCTTAAGTTTGAATCTAGGCTCATCCATTTATTAACCAGAGGATTTTGGACAAGTCATTTAACCCCTCTAAGCTTCAATTCTGTCGCGTATAAATGATGACAGTTCCTATTTCTAATGGTTATTGAGGATAAAAAATATATTTATCACACACTTAGGGCAATACCAGTTACTCACTACACAAATTTTAACAGTCACATTAACTGAGTGAGAAATTACAGTCCCACACACCCTGCTCTTCTTGGAGGGAGGCTTTGGGTTCTTTCAAAACAGCAACAGCAGTGACCACCCTGGGACATTTGCTTATTGTCATGACTTTTACAGTGGTTATGAGACTCAGGGACTCTAGCAGCCCGTTCAGCCAGGAAAATGCACAGCTGCATAAAAAATGTGTGTGATCCAAGAGGTTCTGAAACAGAACTAGATTACACAGAATGTAATCCCTGGAGTTGCCGAACTTCCAGAGTCCCCAGTGAAGAAGTGAGCCCCTGAAAAGACCATAAGCTGAACCATCCAAGGCAAATGTCTAGAACCTGACTTCTATGACTCCCTATTTAATTGGGGCTCAATAAGCAGCAGGAGAATGGAACGAAGTGTGAGAGCAAACCTGGTTTAAAAAAAAAAAAAAACTCCTGTGATTACATTTTTTCTCACTCAGGCAGTTTACCAAACATCAGCACCATTTATAAAGTGCTAATCTTCTGCTGACTCAGCCGCTGAGCCCCGTGGCCACAGCCATCAGGCAGGTGGTCTGGTGCGCTACTCATTGAGTCCGCATGGAGTCGTTTGTCAAACTCCTGCTTACCAGCCACACTTTTCCTTTCCTCGAGCTGTACCTACTTCAGCACACTCAAATGGCATCCTTGTATGTCAAAGGGTTCGACTGGCCAAGGGATGTTTTTTAAATGTTTTTTTCCTCCAGGTGCTTTGACATTATGTGCAAATAGCCTAAATGCTCCATGATATTTTGAGATTCTAGTCAAGGAAAGATGATATCTTATCACCTGAACTGTCTGTAGATACTGCTATGTTTTGTTTTGTTTTGAGAATCCTAAGTTTGATTCAGTCCTGAGCAGAAAGTTATCAATAAGCCTGGTTCCCAGTATTTTGCCTCCATCAGCACCATTGTCACGGTCATCATCATCTTGCTTCTTGCCCATTCATTTGCCCTTCCCTCCTATTCCAGTCTCTGCCCTTCTCTCTGCTCCCAGGAGGCTGATTCCTCGGACTCCACCTCCCAGGCTTCCTTCCTGCTGGTTTCCTGATTGGTTTGGTCACTGGGAGACAGAGGCTGGAGATGAGAGAGTGGAATGGTGGTGGGGGGATATTTCTTCCCCCTTTTCTTCCTGGTTTGCAGCCCGGGCTGCCTCCCTTCAACCAAGAATTCTGTCCAATGGCCCCTACTCCAGGAATCCAGCTCTGCCTGTGCTCCATCATCCTGTGTTCCTCTCTTTGCCCCTGTAAGATAAGGGTGGTAAGCCTCCCATTGTTTCTAGTCTCTGGATGCCTCGATACCCATGTTTATCTTCCTAACCAAGTCATCCCTTCATGGGTGTCTCTGGTCCTGCCAGGACCCTGATGACACATCATCTTCATGTCATCATCTCTGTGACTATTATTTATGGATTGTTCCTCATGTATCAGACACTGCTCTATTCAGAAGGCAAGTATTATTTTACAAATGAGAAGATAGACTTAGCCATCTGAAAGATCTTATCCCAGGTAACACAGCTAGTAAGTGGCAGAGTCAGAATTCAAACTGTTCTAGAGTCTCTTTTTAAACCACTGCCAACAGTTCTGCAATACAGTCCACGTCAGAATCCTCTGGCGTGTTTGCTACAAATCCATATTCTCAGAAACTTTCTCAGAGTTCTCTGCTGAGGAAACCAGCTGTCTGTTTTAATGTGGGCAGTGAAGCTGGCGTGGGGTCATCACCCAAACCAAGGGAGCTAATTGCATAGGTTAACTGACAAGTGGAGCAGGCTGGCGTTAAAACTCTGACCAGCAGGGGCAGCAGTAATCAGGGAGGCCAATCAAGCTCTCTCTCCCTCTGCTTTAAATGAAAAATGCCAAGGAAATTAGTCAAGAGGTAGAGGAAGGAGAGAGAAAGAAAACCATAAAGAGAAACAGGCAGTGAGTGAGTGACATGGCCATATGCTGGAGCAGTGACTGGTGATGCAGTAATGACAGCAGTGTCCCTGAAGCCAAGTGGAAGCTGTAATAATGACTATTCTTAGCCTCTTTTGAGATCTAACTCCTCTCACCCATCAACTCACCAGTGATCTCAATAATTGCTGGTCATGTCTTCCCTGACCCAGACTCATTTGACTGAGCTGACATTCCCCCAGCTTTTACAGAAGGAGCTCTAAGCTAACACAAGTGAAATAGCCTCCCTACTGAGCTTCCTGAATTGACTCTGTTCGTTTCTCTAAACCATTATGAACAGTGAAGCCAGAATGATGTGTCCAAAATGTAAATCTAAGTTTATCAGCCTCTTTACTTAAAGCTCACAAAGGGTTTCCTAGTCTCTTGACATAAGGTGAAAATTCCCTACCGTGATCTGTCAGTTGCTGTGTAATCTAGCAACCATGCCTTCTCTTCATCCTTACCTGGAGCATCTCTCCCCGTCAGCTTCTTTGGTACAGCCACTGTGGCATTTGTTCAGTCCTTCCTGATCACCACCATCATTCCTGTCAATGGATTTAGCACAGGCTCCCCCGTCTGTCTATAGCGTGGGTCCCCTGCCCTTTCACCTACTTCACTCCTACTTGTTCTGTGCTTAATCGCTCAGTCGTGTCCCACTCTTTGCTACCCCATGGACTGTAGCCTGCCAGGCTCCTCTGTCTATGGGGATTCTCCAGGCCAAAATACTGGAGTGGGTTACCATGTCCTCCTCCTCACTCCTACTTAATAGCATCAACCATCAACTCCCCAGGGCTGCCTCCCTGACTTCCCTGACTGATGCCAATCTCATAGAATCCCAGATACACAGTATTGTCATATGTGTGACTTCTTGTGTGTTACCTGGTTATTATCAGTCTTTCCCACTAAGCTCCCCAAGATCAAGATCCATGTCTGAAATTTCTCACTATTGGGTCCCCAGTACCTTGCAGGGTGGCTGGCCCACTGCAAGCACTCAAATATTTGTTGACTGCATGCATGATTTAATGTCTGCTTACAAATAAACAATAGAATACAGCTCTTCTACAGGAGCCACTGTTTAGTTGTCATGGAGTGAATGACACTGGTAACAGTGGGCAAGCAACTGTTGCTTAGGAAGGGCCAACACACAACAGGAGACCAGAGTATGTGTGGCTGCGTGCATAGTACTCAGGACCAAGCACTCCACTTGGAAGGGGAGCCCAATCCTCCTGCAGCCCCAACATCTACCTTAGCACCTAAGAACATGCCCAAAAGGTCAGTTGACTCTCCTTTATTGAGTTTCACTTAGGCTTGCAGGTATATTTCCAAAGAGTTACGTCCATGACCTGGCAGCCAAGATTGTGCAAGCGTGGTGCTTCTTACCCACTTCAATACATCGGTAAATTGAGTTGGAAAATTAAAGAGAACAAATTTGCAGCATTGACTGCAGACTGAAAAGGTGATAAAATTAACACAAATGTCTTTGAGTGCCTCTTGAAAAACATTCGTAAATCAAAATTGGTAGTGATTTTGCTGTATGACATATTGTTTCAAGTATCCATGAGAGAAGGAAATGATTTCAGATCATTCAAATGTGTGGAATTATGGCTAATAAATGAAAAAATATCTTCCTTATGTAATTCTCTTTAGGGAACCTACTTAGTTGAAAAAAAATGTTGAACACTTAATAGGTGCCAGGTATTCCACAGGGCCAAGGGTAGAAGATATGGAGCATCTGCAGAACTCTTGTTTTCAAGGGCCTCACAGACTTATGGAGGAGATCGTGTGCAAAATAATAATAATAATAACACAAGCTGTATTGCAAGTGTATACATGTTATACATGTATACATGTTATACAAAGTGTACATAGGATGAAGGTCACATTATCTTATGAAGAGGATAATGATGGTGCAGAGTTTTTAGAAAATCAAGAGTGGAAAATCTTGGAGGATCTTCTCTGGTGCTCCAGTTGAGACTTTGCCTTTCAATGCAGGGGGTGCCAGTTTGACCCGTGGCCAGGGGGCTAAGGTCCCACAAGTCTTGTGGCCCAAAAAACCAAAACATAAAATAGGAATGATATTATAACCAATTCAATAAAGACTTTGAAAATTGTCCGCAGTAAAATAAATTATAAAAAAAGAAGAGTGTCTTGTAGAGAAGACCATAAAAATTCCACGATATCAGAGTCCAGCTTCCTAACTTTATAACTCAGAAACTTGAGGCCCCAAGGGTCACAGTATCTTGACTACTTAGTGTCAAATTCCTTTCAAGCCCTTAAGTTTTACAGAAAAGAAGTTATATTTTTTTCTTTTTCATGTGACAGTTCAGAGTAGGGGTTCCAAGTCTGTGGCAGTTTTACTCCATGCCACCATCTAGGGCCCCAGGCTGATGTAGCTTCAAGATGAGGCTTCCAAGGCGCTCCTGATAATTTCTGGGTTAATTGGCTAGAAACAGGAAAGAGCACAGAAAAGCCTGATTAGAAGGTGGTCAGTTCTCTTTTTCCATTAGAAGGCATTTGCTCACATGCTCACAAGACTACACAAAAGACTAGGCTATGTAGGCCAGCCATTGCCAAGTACTTCTTAACCATGTGACAGGGGAGAAAGGATTTTGAAAGACCAGGCAGGTGCTTTGTCAGAACACTCAGTGCAAATTTACTGAAAATAATCTTTGTATTACCTTACTTTTGATGCTGATATCAATACCCGAACTCCCTGAATCGTTATGTTTCTTTTGTTTTGTTGGCAGCATTTCAATATCCAAACAGCTGGCTTCAATAAAAGGTAAGGCCTGGGGTGATGGAGATGTACGTGTTGCTTCTCTACCAGGAGAGCATGCCAAGAGTTAAAAATAATGGGCAGTGATATAAGAAAACTTATAGATAAATCATAAAACATTTATAATGTCCTTTTTAAACCTTTGGGAACTGAGGTCCAGTGACAGGAATTAACTCACCCAAATTTAAAGGCTGAGCTATAAAAGGTGCATGAATCCTTGACTCCTAATTCAGTGTTCATCCCACGTGGCCAGATGGCTCTCCATAGGTGGCATCCGCAGTGTATCCAGAGCAAGACCATCAGCATCTGATGCATGAATGTTCAGTGGTGCTCAGGACGAAGTCAATCCCCAACTGCCTCTGTTGATTGAGCAAAATATAGTGTGCCAAACTCCTGAAGTGTAGACATTTGCCTTTATAATTTCACTTTATAGGTAAACTATCTTTAGAGAGAACAATATTGTCATGGAAATAACACTGAAAGAAAAGATGCACTCATATACTTGGATCATTATCTTATTCCAGAACATGTGGCTTGTTTACAGAATAACAAGTACAGCTGGATTCCACTATATTGTAGTTATTTTCCCTAGATGGCTGGTCTCTTTCTCCAAAGGAGACACTTAATATTTTTATTTACATAAATCTTCATCTTGACAAAAATATTATTTTTGCATCATTGTAGCACAAGTTATCCATGATTTCTGTTTCACAGCTTCAGGCACTTTTTGATAATTGTCAGTGACAAAATATCATGTCCATGACATGATGAATATGCATGACATTTCTCACATAACAATCCTCTCTGGGAGGTTGAGGGGGAATCGTAATTCTGTCATCCACACTGCCCTCCAACACACACTCACACACACATATACACACACATCATTCCTAGTATCAGACTCCTTATAGTAGACCATTGGGACACATTTATTCTCATGCCTTAAGAAAACACAGGATAAATAGGGCTCATCTTGCCAGAATTTGTTTTATTCATTGGTAATTTTAAGTTTTATTTGGTGAAATCAGACAGGGCTAGGATGGAATAGAAGTCAATACCAGTCCACATTTTCTCTTCCTGTTACTTATGCCCTTGACCTTTTGGGGAAGGTAGATGGAATGATGGTTGAACACATATTTCCCTCTAGCATCCAAAGTAGATTTAGAGTCAAAAATTTGAGAAGTACTGGAGTATTGGGAAAACTATTGATCTGGCAAGAAAAGAGCAGAGATCAGTTTTTAGTTCTGCCATATACGACTGATGCAAACTTGAATAAGCCACTTTTCTCCTGTAGATCTTCTTCATTTGCAAAATACATAGTAGTAGGAGTTCTAAACTAAGGTCATTCTGATCCCTTACAGAAATGAGAGTTGTGTTTCTCCTACACTAAAATATTAGGAACTCACTAAATGAAATAGTTTATGTTTAGGGTTCCACATTCCGGAATAGCTGAGGTGAAAGAGGCAGGGATGGTTCTCAAGTTCAAGTCAGTTCAGTCCAGCACACATATGCTAAGGCCTACAACATGCTAGGGCCTGGGAATGAATGCAAAGATAAATAAGATGCAATGACTGCCCTCAGGGAACATATATTCTAAAGCTGCACTGGGCAATATGATACCCACTAGCCACCTGGATATGGAACACTTGAAATGCAATTAGTTTGAATAGAAATGTGCTGTAAGTGTAAAATACATATCAGATGTAAGAGACTTAGTAGGGAAAAAAAATGTAACATCTGAATACTTTGTTCATGTTGATCACAGGCTGATGTTATATTTTGACATATTGGGTTAAATAATATATTTTAAAAATAAGTTTATCTGTTTTATTGTAATGTTTCTATGTAGCTACTTAGAAAAAATTTAATTATAATTGGGGCTTGTATTATATTTCTTTGGGACAGCACCGATGTAGAAGGAAATTGAGACAGATAAACAGAGTGTTTTAATGTGAGGGTTCAGACAAGTTTATGTTTAGGGAAGTAGAGCCCAAAGGAGGGGCATGTAGCCCAATTCCAGGGTTTGAGAATACGCTGCCGGAAAAACAACGTCTAGAGGCTGTATGCATCACGGTGAGGGGCCAGACTGCCTCTGTGACCTGGAGCAAGCTACTTAACCTCTCTGTGCTTCAGGTTCCTCATGCATAAAGCAGAGATGATGCTGGGACAACCTGAGCGGACGGACAGATGTAAAGATTAAAAGAGTCGAATCATATATGTCCCACAAAGGAGTGGCTGGCCTACAGAGCATGGAATCCACTCATTCATTACTACTGTTCCTCAGAACTCAAACTCCAGGATTGTTCTCTTAATATTGCTTACTGCTCTCTCCCCAGAACTAGGACAGAACCTGGCAGTAAGAACTTGTTGGGAAGATAGGGTTATAAGAAACTACAGACAGATTAGTATCATTAAAGGGTAAAAGTGAGATAGAAACTAACAGGAGAGATGGACGTGAAGTGCATGGTTTAACACCCTCTCCACCACCTCCACTCCAAAGGCAGGAGCTGATAAAAGATGCCAAAAAACAAACATCGAGCCTTCGCATTTTCAATAGCACTTCACCCTTCACAATATGCTTTCACATATTCACTTACAACTCCATGAGGCAGACAGGACAGGAATTAGGAGGCAACACGTTGAGTTTTACTAAGGAAAGAACTGTACCATAAAAACAGGAAACCAGAAAGCCTTGCAAAGTATCACCAGTATCGGTAGGATAACTGGAGTTCCTTGTTATCTTTTCTTTTTAATGTTTTTCTTGTTCTGTTTTTACCACAAGCATATGTTATTTTATAGTTAGGGGGAAATCCATGCTGTGTTTAAAAGAATGGAGGAGAAAGGAAAGAAGTGGGCTAGTCCAGATGGAGTCTCCCTCTCAAATGCAGGCAGAACTGAACTTCATCAGCAGATTGGGGTGTCTGGTTTCCGCAGCCTCTGTGGCGATGCTCTTAGAAGGACTTATTCCAAACTGGCAGATCTGTCTGTGGCCTTTGAAGGCAGACAGACTTTGAAATCTTCCCCTGCCACTCCTGAGCAGTGTGACCTAAAGATTCTTAATCTCTCCATGTGTCAGTGTCCAATATGCAGAAGTGAGACACAAATAGCACCTACCTTTCTGGCTTTACAAAGCATTAAATAAGATTATGTTAGAAAGGCATCTGGCACATAGTAAACAAGAAAAGTGCCCGTCATTATTTTCAAGCTCACTCACAGCTTGGAAATTCACACTCCCTGCCAGAAGGGCACATTCAGGAGAGGAAGAGGTTATTGTGTCCCCTGAGAAGTCTCAGACCCAGTAGAACAGCTCATATTAAAGCCTTCTCTAGTTATTACGAGTTATTAATAAAAAACTCAACTGGCAAAAATTCCGGAAGTGCTTTACCTCTTAAGGAATTCAGATGTTTCCTCTAAACAGTTTGTTTGTTAAAAACAAGACTATTTATACACAGAGTTTATTTTTTAGCCACTTAAATTCAAGATTACCATAGCATAGCTCCCCACCCATTAAAACACATACATCTCTACTGAGGAAAGGCAGACATGAGCTACAAGAAATATGCCATCTCCTTTGTGTTTTGATGAGCAGGAAAATCCTGGCTAACTGAGGACAATCTGAGTTTTAAAAACGGGTTTCAAGATGTGGCAGAAGTGAAGGGAAGAACTGGATAAGGATAGGAGGAGAACGAGCTCCACATAGAACCCAAAGACACAGAGAACTTTCTGAGGCTGGAATAGTAGGCTAGATGAAGGGCCGGCCACTGGATGAGCAGACAGAAGCCATAGGTCAGAATGAGACTGAGGATCAGAAGCCAAAGAGGAAATCAAGGTAGAAGAGGCTGAGGATACAGATTCCACAGACATTTATTGAATAAATATTTGTGATGAACTTCCTGTATGCTAGGCACTTCTCTAAGTGCTGAAGATTCCACAGGCAAGACATCCCTGTCTTCATGAGGCTTATGTTTTCAACATGAAATCAGATTCAACTGTCACTTAGTAGTGTGTCCTCAGCAAGATCAGATCCTGTCTTCATCTATAAAATGGTATAATGACTGGACGGGCACACTGTGTTCATGGGTTGAAAGCGTCCTCGCATGAGGTGGCCAAAGTACTGGAGTTCAGCTTCAGCATGAGTCCTTCCAATGAACACCCAGGACTGATCTTCAGGATGGACTGGTTGGATCTCCATGCAGTCCAAGGGACTCTCAAGAGTCTTCTCCAACACCATAGTTTATTTATTTTTTTTTTTTATCACAACCATAGTGTATCTTTTTTTTTTTTTTTTTTTTTACATGTATTCCCCATCCCGGTCCCCCCTCCCACCTCCCTCTCCACCCAATCCCTCTGGGTCTTCCCAGTGCACCAGGCCCGAGCACTTGTCTCATGCACCCAACCTGGGCTGGTGAACTGTTTCACCCTAGATAATATACGTGTTTCAATGCTGTTCTCTTGAAACATCCCACCCTCGCCTTCTCCCAGAGTCCACAAGTCTGTTCTATACATAGGAATCTCTTTTTCTGTTTTGCACATAGGGTTATCGTTACCATCTTTCTAAATTCCATATATATGTGTTAGTATACTGTAATGGTCTTTATCTTTCTGGCTTACTTCGCTCTGTATAATGGGCTCCAGTTTCATCCATCTCATTAGAACTGATTCAAATGAATTCTTTTTAATGGCTGAGTAATATTCCATGGTGTATATGTACCACAGCTTCCTCATCCATTCATCTGCTGATGGGCATCTAGGTTGCTTCCATGTCCTGGCTATTATAAACAGTGCTGCGATGAACATTGGCAACACCACAGTTTAAAAACATCAATTCTTTGGCACTATGGTTTCTTAAAAACAAGAAATGGGCCTATCATATAACCCAGCAATTGTATTCGTGGGCATTTTTTCCAAGGAAATAGAAATCGTGTCTATATAGTAACTTGCATACAAATGTTCTTACAAGCTTTATTTATAATAGCCAAAAACTGTAAACATCCAAGATATTCTGCAGTGGAGGCCAACACCTTGATTAGAGTGCTTTGGCAGAGGTTTATGGACAGAAATTATAGCTTCACCATTTGGTCTGAATTCTGTTCAGAGATACAGTAAAAATTGAGAAGGTCCACACACTCCCTTCACCCATTCCTCTTAACTATTGTCCTTCCATTTAACTTTAATTGGGAAAAAAAAAAAAAAACAACTAAATTTTTCAATGCCTTCTCTTTAACCATTGAAGAAAATTCTGATTCCTTTCCATCACCTAGGAGTTCACCATGGTCTAGCCCCTACCCACTTTTCTAACCAAATACTTTAAGCTTCTAGACTCCAGTCACAACTGTCCTTTTAGCTCCTCTAGTGCCATACTCCTGACCTGAGCCTTCACATATGGGGTTTCCTGAGCCTGGAACTCTGAACACCACCCTTATCTCAGGCTGATCCATTCTACCTTTTACTGACAGGTCCTTCCTCTCATATTGGTCTTAGCTTAAATAATAATCTACCTAGAGATGCCTCAAGACCACCTGTATATATCAGTACTTTTTCTCCCAGACCCACTCTGTAATTTTCTGTTTTTTTCTGTCTTTATACCTTCTTTGCCTCATACATCATCTGTTGTAAATTTACATCATATATGTGTATATAGAGAAACAATTATAAATATATATATATATATATATATATAACAAACCCATATGTGTGCATCCATATCCTCTTGATTACTGTTTTTTATCCCACTAGATTATGAGATCAATGAGGGCAGAGGCCACTTCTGATTGTGTCTGAGCAGCTCAGGAATTACCAGGAACACAGTAAGTGCTCCATACAGAAGTCAGTGTTCAGACTGATCATTTTTCTTTGAATCCACGATTGTTGTACATTACCTGGGCAAAAAGCTATTGGATTTTGTTTTTCTCTTTTTTTCTTCCTGTTCATTCATTCAACAGCATTTAATGGCACCTGCAGAGAAGACTTTTGAGAGTCCCTCAAACTGTAACAAGATCAAACCAGTCAATCCTAAAGAAAATCAGTCGTGAATATTAATTGGAAGGACTGCTGCTGAAGCTGAAACTCTAATACTTTGGCCACCTGATTCGAAGAACTGACTTATTTGAAAAGACCCTGATGCTGGGAAAGATTGAGGGCAGGAGGAGAAAGACAGAGGATGAGATGGTTGGATGGCACCACCAACTTGATGGACACAAGTTTGAGTAAACTCCGGGAGTTGGTGATGGACAGGGAGCCCTGGTGTGCTTCAGTCCATGGGGTTGCAGAGTTGGACATGCCTGAGCAACTGAACTGAACCGAACTGATGCTGTAGCTGAAGCTCCAATACTTTGGCCACCTGATGTGAAGAGCCGACCCATTGGAAAAGACAATGATGCTAAGAAAGATTGAAGGCAGGAGGAGGAGGGGGCAACAGAGGATGAAATTGTTGGATGGCATCACCAATGCAATGGAATTTGAGCAAACTCTGAGAGATAGTGAAGGACAGGAAAGCCTGGCATGCTGCAGTCCATGGGATTACAAAGAGTCGAACATGACTTAGCAACTGAACAGCTACTACATAGCAGGCATTTTTGCTGGTCACTGGGAGTATAGTGATTAAAAAAAATATGATCTGTGGCCTCATGGAGCCTGCATTTCAGTTTGAGAGAAAGATGATCAAACATGCAATAAATATAAGGTGGGAGAAATTCTACAATAGAGGATGTACTAAGGGCTGAGGGAACAGAGAGGCTGAGTTTTCTTCACTGAACCTTACGTAGTTCTCAGGTGTCACTGTGTGTTCCCCACTGAAAAGGGCTGAGTTAGCACCACACTTTAAACCAGAGAAACCAGCTGGGAAGATCACTGTGACTGAGGCCCTGATCCAAAGAGATCCCTTATCTATCGTGATATCAGAGAGCTTGTTCTGGATATCATTCTCCTTTACCACACTGGCCTGTGTGATGCTCTGACACAGAATATAAACTCCACAAGAGAAGGACTTTGTCTTACTCAATGAAGTGTCTTAATGCCAGGGACTGAGCCAAACACATAGTAGATGTTCTGTAAATATTTGTTGACTAACTAAATGAAATTACACATCGGAAAACCAAGGCTTAGAGAGCCCAGGTGTTTTCCCAAGGTCATATGGCAAGCAGGGGCTAAATCTCATCCTGATTCTACTAATTTTATTTGCTACTGAAGGGACTTTTGTTCTCCATTGCTTAAAGGTCCAGGATCAAACACTGGATGCGTTCCACCCTCAGGTGGCAAAAAGCCAAAGATCAGGATCACATTGACACACACCTTCCAGCGCTGTTCCCCAGGTTCCCCTGGAAGGAGGAGCCTGATGGTTGGGAGGGTCATTTCTAACCTAGGCTACACAGTTGTACATTTCTCCTCTCACAGCTCTACGCAAGGGCTCAGATCTGGAAAAAGCCATCGCCACCGTCGCTCTGGTTTTCAGAAACTCTTCTGACCCTGATGGTAGACTCGGAAAAGCTACTGCCAAAAATCTGCTACAAACCCAGTTTAAGAATTTCACAGAGGTGAGACAATTAACAGACACCAAGAAATGTGAGCCACACCATGACAGCTGGCATGAAAGAATAAAACAGAGGGACCATTTTGGGCTTGGTGGTCAAAAAAGAGCTCCTGGAAAATTAAGGTATAGCTGTGATCTGAAAAATGAGATTAAGAGTGATCTGGGGTGAGGGCTGGCGGGGAGTGGTGGCATTCCAAGTAGGGAATCTGATGTAAAGCATGCCAAAGACATCTGAGGTCCAGTAAGTATTAGTGAGAAGCAGGAGGGAAGTAAGAGCAGTGATGGAGGAAGCCAGGCAGGTGGTGAGAAGTCGTGTCTTACAAAGGCATAGCCGGTGAGCAGGAGGAAGCCAGGGATGGTTTCTTAGTTCCTGAGGAAGAAATCACACCAGCTGCAGTAGGAGGTGAGACTCCATGAGGGTGGGGAGTGAGGCAAAGAAGAGAGGAACTGTGCGGAAGGAATCCAAACACAAGAAGATGTTGGTCTGGACTAAGGTGGCAAGTATAAGGGGCCTTTGGAAGGTGGAGTGAACAGGATCTGCTGTGAGGGTTGAAGAATCGGGGGAGGTGGGGCGGTGCGGGGAGCCAATAATGATATGTCAGTTCTGACTGTGGGAAGAAATGGGTGGTGGATCCATTTTCAGAGAAGAGAAAGACTGGAGAAGAAGCAGATTGGAGGCGGTCTGGGAGGTGGGGGCAGGTGATGAGTTCTGTCAGCTTGGGTCAAGCTTAAGGTGTCCTTGAAACTTTAAAGTTGATAAACTCAGACAGCAATAGGGTGTGTGAGCAGAATGGTCAGAATAGAGATCTGTATTAAGTGAGTGACCAGAGGGAGGGACCTAAATCATCTAGAGGCATCTTTCTCAAACCTCAGTCACTTGATACTCTCTTCAGTACTTTTTTAAAAAGTATTTATTTTTATTTGGCTGCACCAAGTTTTAGTAGCAGCATGTGGGATCTAGTTTCCCAACCAGAGATTGAACCCAGGCCCTCTGCATTGTGAATGTGGAGTCTTAGCCACTGGACCACCAGGAAAGTCCGCTATCTTCAGTGTTTTTCCTGTATCTGCCTATAGCCTGTATTAAAATTTACTTAGAACTTTTTAACTTAACACTCTACTTAAAATTATTTTATAAAGAAACTTGATCACTCTTCTAAATGTAAATTCAGTGAGTGGAAGTGGACAATCGTAAAAAACATAGATGACTGTACATTCTTATCTAATATTATTCCCACATCAGCTAAAATCACATCACATTCTACCAGCAGTATGAATTCAAACTTCAGAAAATAGTAGCCTTGGGACAACAGGTAAGAAGAAAAGAGGGCCTCATGCTGAACCTAAACCACCAACATTTAATGGTAGGCAGAGAGAGAAAAAACCTAAAAGGAAACAGTCTCTCAGGTTCTATGTGTATTCTGAAATACATAAAAGAGAAGTTCCTTTAAAATATAAATATGTATATTATATTTTAGCCTACTATAGTTACATAAGGTGCTATCGACTGGGGAGTCTGGGTCAAAGGTACAGCTTCCTAGGATTATTTCCAAAGAGTATGTGTGAAGTGTTTTTTGGTTGTTTTTTTTTTTATTCCACAAATAAGTGATTTTTTTAAAAAGCCTGTTTCATAGAAACAGTGAACAGAATGGTGGTTGCCAGGAGCTGGGGGAAAGGGGTGATTTAGGTCAAAGGGTACACATTTCCAGCTATAAGAAGAATAATTTCTGAAGCTCTCATTGACAGTGTGATGACTCTAGTTAGTAATAAGGTACTGCATACTTGAGAGTCTCTGAGAGTAAGTCTTAAGCATTGTCACCACACACATACACACACGTTAATTCTGTGCGAGGAGATGGATCTGTTAATTATCTTGATCTTGGTAATCATTCCGCAATGCATATGTATCAAATCATCACATTGTACACTTTAAATATATACGGTTATATTTGTCACTGTTCCACAATAAAGTAGAAAAAGAGCTTGTGCATGTGTGTGTGTGTGAAAAGGAGACAGAGACTCCCGTGTGAGACACAGAAAAATGACTGAAAAGAAATCATGTTAATAATAGTTAGCTATCTTTAGGTAATAGGGTAAAGGGTTATTTTTACATTCTTCTGTTTTGTTTTTTGTTTTTTCTGTATGTCCAATATTAAACACATTGTTTTTGCAATAACTTTTTTTAAAAAGCTATTTTTTTTCAGCCAGAAACATCAGATAAGATTTGACAAGAGATCCAAAGTTCTGGGGAATCTTTACAGAGAGGGTGGGAGAGCAAATTGTATATCATCAGTTTGTATCAGAGGCCAAAAAAATTGACAAATCTCAGAGAGAAAAAGAACACTGCATGTACTTGGCAAGTCCTCAGTGAGCTTTTGACAAGTGTGAGAATGAGGACCTAGTGGATGAGTCTCATCCTGATGTGATCCACTATCCCTCTGAGAACATCAGAGGAAAAGAATTAAAACCAAAGTCGCCAGGAAAGACATCTCAGCCTCGTGCCCCTCAGTGTAAACTAAACCCAGGAAAGGCAACTGATTCCAGGCTCTCTAGCAGCAGACTCAGCCAGATCACAGGGCAATCCCACCCTCTCCTCCAGAAGAGAGTAGAGACGTATTTCAGGGGCTTGGGGGGACTGCTCATCCCTACCCGCCTCAGCCTCAGCGGTCCCACTGAGCAGTCCCACTGCCAGACATGCAGTGTCATGGCACGATGTGTCTCGGACCAACTTCCCTGCTCTGCCCTGTGAGAGTGCCAAAGGCATGTACAGCGTAGGGGTCTCTGTAACCAACTGGGCTTCCTCCTAAATCCTCACACAGGGTTCTCTAGGAAACTGAGCTGGACCTTCCGGCTGAGTCCAGGGTCTGAAAGGAACATGTCCTTCCTCATAAGCCTAAACATAATTTGGGGGATCTTATTTCTCCCCCTATAGTCAGTCAGAGATAATAAAACTGAGCACCTAAATGCACTGCTAAGAATATATAAAAGCAAGATGGCAGGTTAGGCCCCAAAAACACTGGACCTCCATCAGCTCCGTGCTCTTAAAACGCACAGCAAAAAGAGAGGCTCTCCAGCCGTCTCTGACCTGGGGGTAAACAACATGCTTCACACTGGTCGAGGGCCACTCGCTCTGAGAGAGGCAGACATAGGTCCTTTCCCCTTCACTGGTAAGTGTCGCCTCTTGAGGAGCAGCCTAGAAAACACGAAAGGTCTTAAGCCTGCGAGAGGAATGTATCATCACTCCGGAAGTGCCTTAGTCATTGCTGCAGTGAGCTTTTTTACAGCCAGCACATGGGTGAGGGTTTGGGGTTAAACTGAATGCAGTGAATCAAATGACCTTAATGTTTTTTTATGCCACTTGGGAAGATATTTCACAAGCTGTTCTTGGAACTGAAAAGTTTTTCCATTTATTTGCTTTTCACAGGTTTTCCTTCAATCTGTTTCTGAGGTTTGATGAACTTTGGTTTGATTTATGATCAAGCTAAGCGCTGAACAATCTTTCAAAGCACATACTTTCTTTTAGCATATTTTACTTCATTTTTATGGATAATCAAACTCAGTAGATCACATGGTGGATATCTCCAATGACAAAAGGATTGTAATTTGAAAATCAGAAAGCATAACAGTAACTGTATTTGTAGAGAGGTAGTATAGCTTAGCAGTTGAGTGAGGACTCCAGAATCAGGTATCCAATGCAATGAATCCTGTTTCCATGCTCATAGCTGTCTGTGATGATGTGGTGTTATTTGCTCAGTCATGTCTGACTCTTCATGACCCTGTGGACTGTAGCTTGCCAGGCTGTTCTATCCATGAATTTCTCTGGGCAAGAATACTGTAGTGGATAGCCATTCACTTCTCCAGGGGATCTTCCTGACACAGGGATCGAACCTAGATCTCCTGCATTTCAGGCAGATTCTAATACCATCTGAGCCACCAGGGAAGCTTGGGGCAAATTACTTTATTCTCAGTGAGTCTCTGGCCTTGCATTGTAGGGTGGGAAAATAATATGTATTCAATAAGGTCACTGTGAGTGCTCAGATAACCCATGAAAAGATTTAACACAGTGCTTGACTAGTAGTGCTGGTAGCAACTTGACATCTTGTTAATAACATGTTTACTATTGCTTATTATCTATAAAACCAAGGCAGCACAATGAATTAGGCTTTTACTTTTCATTCTTACAGGGACAAGAAACCAAAGCAAGGTACAAAGACCTCCTTTCTGAACTTGACGAACACACAGAGAATAAGCTGGATTTTGAGGATTTCATGGTCTTACTGTTAAGCATCAGTATAATGTCAGATTTGCTCCAAAATATATGGAGTGTAAAAATTACACAATAATCAGCGTTAAATATATAGTTAGGCAAATTAATGTCAAAAGACAATGTTAAATGATTTAAAAGTTTTTCATTTTATTTTTGATCAATTGAAGGTACTGATCATGCACCTGGGGTTGCCTCGGGTGGGTATGATTGCTAATATTCAGACCCATTGTCACTACAGAAATCTATGTACACTCTTCAGGAATGTTTAAGTAATATGATATATAAAAAATAATAATATGATATAATCTCTGATGTTTTATAATATAATAGGTTTGATACCACCAAATATTGCATTGCTTTTGCTGTGTCAGTATGTCTTAGAGCACTTCCCTTATGATCACTGAGCCCCTCACTCATTCATTCATCAAACAATGTGTATTGCGCTTCTACTTGATAGTATTGCTAAGGACAAAGTAATGAACCAATCTCTGCCCTCATACATGCCTGCCAGAGTCTTAGCAGAAGAGACAGACTGTGAACATTTTATCAATTTCTTATACAGTATAATTATAATTGTGATAAGGGCTACGAGGCTGAAAAAGTTGTTATCATGTGATTTGGGATCAAAGGTCAGAGAAGCTATACCGGCCTTCTGCAAAAGGCAAAATTGTAAGAGGAAGAAAACAGATCAGCAGCTGCCAGGACTGTGGGTAGGACATGGAGTTGTCCACAGATGGGCAAGAGGGCACTTTTAAGGGGGTGGAGGTGTTCCATAGCTTGATTGTGGTGATGTGTACATGACTGCACACATTTGTCAAACTCTTAGAACTGCACACACAAAACTGGGGTGAAGTTTACTTTATGTGAATTCTGCCTATATATGACTTAAACCCCCCTAGATCCCAATATCTTTGTAAATTCTGGCCATGATTTAACCAACAATTCCTTGAGAAGAAGATCTAAAAATGGTCATGTCCTCAGGACACACATTCCCTGTGGCTATACCTGAATTCCTGAGTTTAAATTATACACACACATCAGTCAATGCCTAAATCTTTGAGATAGACTTTCACCAAGACTTTAATTCATTCCAGAATTATTGTAACTTCCTAAGTTACCTCCCTCAGCTCCCATTTCCCTTCCAACCCAACACTGTAAGCCTCAGAGGCACATGTTAAGGGAGCCTTTCTGAAGAAGAACCTCCGCCCCTGGTCTGGAGAAGTGTTATCTCATCCTGTGTGTGTGTATGTATGTGTGTGCACGTGCCTGTGTGTGCTCAGTCATGTCTGACTCTTTGCAACCCCATAGTCCACCAGGTTCCTCTGTCCATGAAATTCTACAGGCAGGAATACTGGAGTGTGTTGCCATTTCCTCCTCCAGGGGATCTTTCCAACCCAGGGATCAAACCCATGTCTCTTGTGTCTCCTGCATTGGCAAGCAGATTCCTTACCAGTGCACCACCTGGGAAGCCTGTTCTCCCATCCTGTAGTGTTCCAAATACACCAAGACCAGATTCCTTAGCCCTCCTTACTTTCCAAACCTTAGTCTAAGTTCAAAAGTCTATACTTTATCCCTGTTAGGGAAAGCCCCAGACTGTACCCTCTGTCACCATTTTCATAGAAGGAATGTGCATTCAACAGGATTTGACTCATGTGCCAGGCACTTTGTAAATATTAACTCAACTCCCATCATAACCTTCTGAGATTGGTATTAGTATTATCATCTCACAGATGAGGAAACCGAAGCACCAAACTTTTGATTTTTCCAAAGTCACACAGCAGGCAGATTGCTGAGTTCTCTGCCCTCCTTGTGGGCATTGTAAATTTTGTTTTAATATTAGATTTCATCGTGAGCAATAATATTACAATTGAACAAAAATAGCTGCACATTTCAGGCACTGTGTGAGAATGTGGTACCAACCGGGGCCTGGAGAGCCATTTGGCATTCCTCAAATAGAATCTGTGGGCTGCACTCCATCCAAGTCCTTTGTATCTTAGTCAAAAGTAGCTGGATATGACAACCTTGGTGACCAATCAAAAGTTCAAATTCACACCTTTCAGAGAAGGAAAAAAGAGACCCTGGCCAATGGTGTGAGGAAGAATCTTGGAGCCATTCCAATGCTGGAGCTCCCTGTAAGGATTTTTGAAACTCCATTCCAGATGGGAAATTACTCTCCTCTGAGGGGAAAATCATTTATAGAATCTATTTTAGTCCAATGCAAAGAATGAAAGCAGAGCAAAACCTTGAGAAGCATCAGTGACAGACAAATTGATGAGCATTACCCTAAGAAGGACTGAAGCTGAAACTGAGGCTCCAATACTTTGGCCACCTAATGGGAATAGCCAACTCTTTGGAAAAGACCTTGAGGCTGGGAAAGATTGAGGGCATGAGGAGAAGGGGAGGACAGAAGATGAGATGGCTGGATGGCATCACTCAATGGATATGAGTGTGAGCAAACTCCAGGACATAGTAAGGACAGGAAAGCCTGGTATGCTGCAGTCCTTGGGGTCACATGACTTGACATGACTTAGCAACTGAACAACTGTGCTAAGACACTAGATCCACAGAAACCTCACCTCTTGGTTCTAGTTCCAGGACCATGATCTCTACTCTTCAAGCAAAGGTTCCATCTTGAAAATGTTACTGGTCATCACAGGTGAGATTATGGATGCAAATCTGTCATGAGATCCCTTGATTGCAAACAACAAAGCCCACTGAACTACATACACACGTACATGTACACACACACAAAGGAAAACGGCACAGGTTGTATTTATCTACAAATTCCAGTGGCAAATAAAGAAAGGGCAGAGTATGCAATGAATGTCTACAAAATATTGGAAACAGCAATGGAAAGCAAAGTCAAGGTTTTGCTTTTAGTGTATCTTAAATGAATTGGTTTCTTATCTCTGCTTCTGTCTGCATGTGGTCTCTCCCTCATCTCTACCTCTACCTCTGTTTCTATCTCTACTTCCTGACTAGCCTTTTTTCCTGATTCTTGGCCCAAAAGCCAAACACAAAGTTCACATCACTGACTTGATTTCTCTCTTTAAATGTTCAGCCAACACTCACTAGCATCTCAGAAATCCAATTCCAACCCCCGGGAACAAGAACCTGATTGGCTGAATTCAAGTAGGGACCAGTCCAGATCAAGTTGTTTGTGACCAGGGGTGAAAGTCACATGTCCACTCAGCAGGGCCTGTGGGAACTCACCCTGCAAAGTATATGGACAGGTTCTCAAAGGGAGGGAGGAGCTGGGGATGAAATGACTGACAGAGGAGATTATAAGAATCTGTGACACAAAATCCGTAACTTGGCTGAACAGGGCAGTGTTATTTGCTTCTCAGGCACAGGCTCAGCAAACATGAGAACTGATGGAATAATCTCCTTTGTTATTCCAAGTGAAACCTTTTTTGCATCGTCACTGTGTAAAAGGAGGTAGCCTGAGCCGCCCTGGGAAGTTTCCTGTGATTAAATATAGTTAAGATCTTCCTGTACAAGAGCTGTGAGCACGCTTGCAATTTGGTGAGCATGACAGAAGCGTACCCAGTCCTAGAACCCCTAATTTTCTTCATTTCAGCATCTAAAAAAGGGTCCCAGTATGAGATCAGAAATTGTGCTTTAAACAGTCCTTTGTGAGAAAGAGGGAAAGGGCTGGAAGGAAACCAACAGGAGTCCTGCACATCAGCTGACCTTAGGCGCTGGTAGAGCTGAAGAGTTCTTAGCTGAATTCTGAGCTTTGAGAAAGGCCGGGAAGGCCAGTTTCCAGAATCTGGCAAAGGTCAATCCAGCCCATGGACAAGAGACAACCATAACCCAGTGAATTCAGGCCTGAAAGACATTGTGCCAGTTTTCTCTAATTGCAGTCTAGGACATATGGCTTCAGATCTCTTTGATCCTTTGGTGGGGGAGAGGGGTTGCAGTTTTGAAATAAGCAAAGCCTAGTGTAAATGGGCTCTCGGCGTGGTTTCCATTCCTGCACACGAGGACTCCATTTCTGCCCCATGTGTTCAATACTTCATCCACAATTCTGAATCTAAGAACCATGAACGCTCAAGTTTTTCTTACTCGTTTGGTGACAAAACATGAACTGTAACTAATTAAAGGCTGTTCGTGGTTTTGAATTTTTCCGCTTCACATGAGCATTCAGATGGTATGGGTGGGAGCGCTACGCCACTGGAGGAACCGCTAGCCTGGAGAAGAGAACCAGGCAGAGGGCTGGACTCTGGTCCCAGCTTTGCCACCACCAGCTCTGGGGCCCTGAGAAAGCCCTGCACCTTTTCTGAGTGAGCCTCATGTTTTTCCAGATCTAAAGTTGGGATCAGAATGAGGCCTGTTTTCTTAGACAAGTCACTGTGAGAGTTAAGGAAGCACAGAAATCAGGAATATAAAGTGGGCCTGTGTACATGTGTCATATCCATTCTAATTTGTCTCATTCTGGACAGATGGTTGTTATCATTATTCTTGACCATGGCTCCCCCTAACAGAGCATCTACTACACTCAAATATTTCCAGATGGCCTTTTACTCAATTCCCTAAATATCTTTAAGAGATTGGTATTATTATCTCCATTTTATCAAAGAGGATGAACTTTAGAGAGGTCGGGTGACTTACCAGGGTCACAGAGCAGTAAGTGGCAGATAAAACCCAGGTTTCCAACCCACATCTGTCTTGTGCCACAGTCTGGCTCCCTTCTGTAATGGCAAGTGGATAGAAAACTACCCAGAGGAGAGCATCACCGTGACTTAAGGCTTATACGTGATCACAGTACGTTATTCTCCAAAATGAGGAGGAAGAGAAGCAGCAGCTCACATTTCCGTAATCCACAGGGAATCAAGAAGCATTAGTGGGGAAGCAGCAACAATATAACTTCCTTTTCCTTGCCTTTCTATGTCATTCAAGAAGGGTATTTTTCCTTTGGGGGAAGGCAATGGGATTTTAAAATCTGTGTGACTTTTAGCTCACGGTTTTGCTTGACAAAAGTATAAACGACAGGAGGGAGGCCATGGAAGGGAAAGGGGCTGTTCCCAACATGCACATGTAGGTGGAGGAATGGGAATGCTGATGTGGAGGATA